TTGTCATTAGGAGAGTGTTTTATGAATAAAGTATGATTTCCTTGGCTTTGTTTGTATTCTAAAGAAATCATTGTCTTGGTAAATCTCTCAAACCATGCTCGTGGAGACTGCTTGAATCCATACAAAACCTTTTTTAATCTTTTTTTTCCTTCATCCGAAGGTCCAAATCCTGGGCGAGTTTCCATGTAAACTTCTAAATCTCCATGCAGGAAGACATTTTGTACATCAAATTATTGTAAGTCCCAACCAAAATGAGCTACAAGAGAAAGTATAACTCATACTCTATTTATCTTTGCCATCGGTGCAAAGGTCTCCTCATAGTCTATCCCATAAGTCTGTGTGTACTCCTTGATTACCAATCTTGCTTTGTATCTATTTATTGTCCCATCAACTTTGTTCTTTACTAAGAATATTTATCTGCAATCTACAACTTTCTTGTCCTCGAGTATGTCTACAATCTCCCATGTTGAGTTATTTTCTAATGCCTTCATTTCTTCTTTTATGGCTAGAATCCAATGCTCTTCTCTTAATTTCCTAGGCTGAAGTTGGGATATCTATTGAATCAATGGCAGTAATGAAACTTTGATGTTGAGCAGACAAATAATCAGTATAGACATATTGTGAAATAGGATATTTAACACAAGATCTTTTTCCTTTCTTCAAAGCAATAGGAATATCATCATTAACATTTACTTCCTCCAAATTACCTTTAGGATCACTTACCTCCAAGTTAGACGATTCCTCTTGTTGTGGAACTAAGGTGGTTTTTTTTTCCTTTAATATTTTATGCCAAAGAATTTATCTTCCTCTTCTTCATTTTGGACATCCTATGAAGATAAAAATAGTAATAACTTTAAGTAAAACCGTCTTTGGATTCTAAAATTTTCTCCCCCTAAAGCCGATGAGAGACAAAGAAGGACTCATTTTGATGTAAAGCAATATCCATGAAAACAAAGAATTTATGACTCTGAGGATAATAACATTTGTTCCCTTTTTTATTTGATGGATAACCAATAAAGACACATTTGATTGCCCTCAGATCTAATTTACCTCTATGAGGACAATGTGAATGGATTTAAACAACACAACAAAAAATATGACAGGGTAAACTTCTCCCTAGAAAGTGTTGGGAACAAACATTTGGAAGAGTTAGACTCTAGGAACTTCTAGGAGATGACTATTTTTTCTTTCTACAATCCCATTTTGTTGAGGTGTATTAACCAAGTAAGTTCATGTACAATACCATTATCCGCGATAAATTTAGACAAATCACGATTCACATATTCAATACCATTATCAGATCTAAATCTTTTTATGGATTTACCAAACTGATTTTTAACAAGATGGAAGAAATTGGCAAATATTTGACCAACCTTAGATTTATTTTTCATCAAGTATGTCCATGTTATCCATATACAGTCATCAATAGATGTCACAAACCATTTAAATCAAATGGGAAAGAACTCTTGTTACCACTAATTGGAAAAAAAGAATGATGGTGTTTAGACAACTAACAAACATCACAATTAAATGATTCAATAGAAACTTTTGTGAACAAATGTGGAAACAAAGATTTAATAAGACTAAAAGGAAGATGTTCAAGCCTTTTATGTTGAAGCCATGTTTGAGAGGTGGCCTAAGTATCAATCTTCGTATGGTAGCTTGAGGTTGATTCTATGTTCTTATCACCATTGCCTTTTTGCTATAGGAAGTATAACCCACCTTGCTCTTTAGCAATTAAAATTGTCTTCTCCATGGCCAGGTCTTGAAAGGAACAATGAGAATGAAAGAATGTCACTGAACAATTCAAGCCTGTAGCGAGTTCTTATATATAGATAAGATTTTTAGCCAATTTCGAAGCATGTAAGACATTATGTAATAAAATAAAGGATTCAAGTTGAATGTTGCCAGAGCCAATAATGGACATCTTATCTCTATTAACAACTGTAATGAATTGTTTGGTGCTTGTTTTGGAATATGATGCAAAGAGTGAAGGAAAGGAGGTCATATGATTTGTTGCTCCAAAATCAAGAATCCAAACTTCTTGAGAAACTAAGCCAGAAGTATTGAAAGTACTCTTACCCTTCATGGATAGAGTACATGAGTCAGAGAACTTACTTATAGACTCAATCATCATTTTTTAGATGATCAATCTCTACCTTACATGCTGTGATAACCTGTTCCAATTGAAAGAGATGGGAATTTGCATCACCCATGAATGAACTAAAAAAATAAACAATGAGAGAGAGACAAAAAACTTAGATCTGTGAAAACCTTTATGGGAGGTTGCTGGTGAGTGGGTCTTATCGGAGATAGGGGTGTGGAACTATTTTCCATTGTGCAATTCACGGTGTTGTGATCATCGATGATGGACACTCCTTTTTAGCCCACACTATCAACTTCAAGGATGGTAGCAATAGTGGTGACGACACCCGCGGTGGCAGTGAGGATGTTAGCAACTCATATTTTTATTTTAGGATAGTGGATACAAAACTTCGAAGATCGAAAGCTCTGATACCAAGTTGAAAGAGAGGATATTATTAATTTGCAGCTCACTAATTACATTCTTGTCTTATCCTATTATAGAAATACATTTGTCTCTAAAATAGGTAACAATAAAAGTAAACAAATATAAAAGAAATACGAAAAGATTATATCAAATCTATCAAATCTCCTAAAATATTCATATTTACAACAATTTTCTACTCATCTTTTGTGATAGCTGCTTCGCAACAAGAAGTATGTAGAAGAAATTACATCTCGAACTCCTCTTGGACGCATCGCAGAACCTGAAGAAGTTTCATCCTTGGTGGCTTTCCTTTGTCTGCCTTGTGCCTCATACATCACAGGACAGGTTATTGTTGTTGATGGAGGATTATCGGTAAATGGATTTCAACCCAGCATGAGAATAACATGAACACGAAATACTTCTCTCAGCGTATTGTCTTAATGTCATCATGTTGTTAATAAAGTTAAGGACCCTTTATTCATTCATTTCAAATTGCATTTAATTTCATCCTTGGTGGGAATTAACCATCACAATGGATAATAACACAACATTCATGTACTTCTTAGTTTATTAATGATCATCTTTGAAACAAAGGATCTCATTCTCTAAATCATTTTTATCTTTACTTCCAACAAGCTTTTCAATTGGTATGCATTGTATGCTTTTGCTTGCCTTTGGGTTGTATTGCAGTATTAGGTCTATCCAACACCTTGCGTGTCAAAAATAGCTTAAAGCAGATTTTATCAAAAACAGTGACTTGAGTTGCCTTTTGCAATTATATGATATTCATATGCGCTTAATTTTACGCACAATTTTCACATACACGTGGCAAAGCCTGAGTTACACTGTTGACCCAACAACTTTCATAACTATCATATAGTGGTCAACTTGGTATGCGTAGGGACCATTTATTGGCACTGTTGACCTGACATACATACATAGTCACATCATTTATCCTCCCCTCATATAAAAATAGTTCTCCCATTATATCTCTCCTGTTACAAGTATTTCATTAATTGCCTTTTCATAACAATTTTTTTTCAAACTTTTGTTTCTTTTATTTTTATATCTTCACTCTGCTATAGTAAAGGTAATACAATAATACTTCAACCTGCAGAGATTTCCATTTGAAATTTTTATAATTTATTTTATGAAACTTAAATTTATTTCTAGAAATTTCGATACAATTTTGACAAAATATGATCACTTTCTCAAATTTGTTGAAAAACTCAGAATTTCTTCGCATATTCTGTTAAAAATTGTTTCATATAAAAAAAACTAGATGTTTCTTGCAGTTTTTTTTTTCTTATAAAACTTATATCTATAATTTTATAAAAAAAGTTATTTAATTTAGTATTAGGAGTGTACTTTGTAAGGTATCTAAAAAGCTTATGAACTCTTTTAACCAACTTATTAGTTTGACCAAAATAAGTTTGGTTAGTTATTTTAGGAGTTTATAGTTATTTTTATAAGCTAATAGAAGTATTTTTTTTATAAAAAAAAACAAACTCTTATTATTTTCAACCAGGTTAGTCCAACATATTTTTGGATCTAAAACAAATTTTGATGTGAGACCTTTATAAAATTAATCAAAATAATTAAAAAAAAAATGATTTCTTGTAAAAAAATAAAAAAAATTTCTTTTCAAGGATGTTCAAACTCTATTTATAAAGAAAAAAAATACATCCTAATTATTATTATTATACCAAATCAACCAATAGTATAAATATTAATATTATATAATTTTTTTGAGAGACTTAAAAGCAAAGGCTTGTTTTTGGATACAAGGCAGCGTAATGTTGCTGGGATGAGAGCAAAGTTTGTTCTTAGAATCCCTGACAATAGTATGGACTATTAAGTTAGCTTGTCATTATCATTTGGCTGGGGAGAGTTTTAAATTATTATGGCGATCCCATATTTGATTGAATTAACAGTGTCTTTAGAGATGTCGTCAGTAACCTGTTTACAATTGTTTTCGAAATAGCAGTGTCTTTGTAAATGGTCCAAGTAGGATTTGTTAAAGTATCCTCTGTTGTCTCTAAAGCATGCTTCCAAATCGAAGCTCTTGCTGTTAATGAAGAATGTTATGTTTACGTTACATTTGAAAAAGCTAGTGCGGAGGGATCCATTTTGTGTTACTGTGGTTTATCTGTGATGGTTGCTTTGACTTTGCGTCATTCTTGGAGAATTTCTAAGGCTTGGCTAGTCATGCTCCATGATAAGTATTTATGTTATTCCATATATTTCAAAGAATCACGGTGGATTTGCTGAATTGAGTCTTAGTAAATGAGTTGCAAAAGGTAGAGATGACATGGTTGAATGAATTTAGGGTTCGAATGAATCAACTTCAAGAATAATGGATTGAAGTGTCGGCCAGAAAGTTGAATAGAATTATGCTTTACTTGATAGTTTACACCTCTTATTTGATGTATGATACGGACAGGGAGACACGCCATATGATATTTTTTTTAACCTTAGATGGATTTTTCAGGTTCCAAATGTTGTTCCATGTGCCCAGGTTCGTGGAGATGATTTGAATGGTCATACGCTCTGTGACGTGGATCTAAGTGGATTTTACAAAGTATAAGTCATCTTTGCTGAGATTTCAAATGCATTCATCTTTGGCGGCAATAATAGGTATGTTCAAAGTATTTTACAACTTGAAATATATTTTTCTCTTTTCTTTATCTTTATTAATTTACTTAAAATATTTTCTCTCTCTTTAATTTAGAAACATTTTTGCTTGCATGTTATTTTGTTACTATTAAATAAATAAACATGTTATTTTACATTAATTAACTAACTTATTAACTAATTTTATAAGATACTTTCAATTCAATTAGTTAGATTATAAACTTTTTAACTTTTTAACTTCTGCTTTATAACTTATAAATTTTTCAGTTTTCAGCTTATAACTTATAAACTTTCAATTAGTTTATAAGTTTTTAGTCAACTTATAAAGTTAATTTTATCAAATATAATATGTTTCTGATTTTAGTTATAAGCAATAAATAAGTCTTTTTTAGTTATAATTGTAAATCACAGTTAACAATTTTCAAAGTTACTCAAATAAATTTCTTTTATATTTTTAATTTATTATTAACTTTATTTCTTTTGTATTCATTGATATTGTATATAATAGGTATCTAATAAAAAGTATCTTTAGAATAAAATTTAAATTTATAATAAATATTTATTAAAGTAACTAATTTAATTAATTTTTTTAATTTATCTCATGTTACTGCAGTAATGGACAAAATCTAAAAGTCATAAAAGAAAAACATTATAATACCATAAAAGACAATTAATTAATAAAACGTATGGTATTTAAAATTATGCATAAGATATTATATTATTAAAATTATTACTTTTAATTTATACATTATAATTTTATTATTTTAGCTCCCTGACATTAAATGATTAATCTCGGACCCTACTCACCATTAAAGTGAACTTAGATTGCTAGCTTGGGTGACCTAATAGCAATAGGGGTCATACTTTAGGAATATTTTTCTTTTGTTAACTTTATTAAATCAAAAGATGACACAGCACTTTAGTTGGATGCATGCTTAGCTTAAACTAAGTACCTGTTGCTAATAAGCAACTCCCTTCTGAGTTGACAAGTCAGATTGTTTAAAATCCTTATATAAGACACTCTTACCTCAACATCATATTTTAAGAAAAGGAAAAAAAAAAAAAAAAACTGAATGAGTATTATCTACGTAAACCAGTATGGATATTCTTTCTCCTAATACAGTCAAAATGATAAAGGTAGAAAACTACAATATTATAAAATCAAACACTCAAGAAAAACCTAAAGTCCACACTGTGGCCGCCCCAAATAGATGCGAACTTATGCGGCAGGCAACTTCTGCTTATGTTAGACTGGAATCATGATCAATCTCTCCATCATTAAAACTCAAACCGTTGTGAACCTTCGTGAGTGTCCTGTTAAAACAATTTAAGGTTTAAGACAAATTTTATATAAAAAAAACTATTAATTTTCTTATAAATGTTTTAAGTTTGAGTTATAAGATTATTCATCATTTCTTATCTTTTAAAATTATATTCATTTTTATTTGACATTTTATAATATTATAATTCTATAATGTGTAATAAAATGTGATTCAAATACATTTTTAGTTCTCATAAAATGAATAAATTTTGATTTTTATCTTTATAATTTTTTTTTATTCTTCTAAAAGTTGTAAATATTTTTTTATCCTCGTAAAATATTTTTAGACTCTTAAAATGAGTAAATTTTGTTTTAATGAAGTTAATGTAATTTTTTTTTTATTTTTATCCCAATAAAGTAAAATTATTATTTTTGATCCTAACAATGATTTTAAGGTATATAAATGACATTTATTTTAAGAACTTATGAAACATTTTAGATATGCCACACAATAGTATATATCACTAACCATTATAATATTATAAGTAGTATCAAAGATAATCACTTAATCATTTAATGAATAAACAAATAGTTAAAAATATTACATAATGGATATTAAAAACAATAATTCTAAATTTTATAGAGATGAAAAAAATATAAAAACTAAAAATATATTTAAGTCAGAAATAATATAAAGAGTAAAGATAAAAAAAATGAATTAATGGTATTAAAAAAGGTATAAAAATGATAAAATGACAAAAACCTAAAAATATAAAGAATTACGCATGAAAAATTTACACTGTAACATTTAAATTAGTTATTCATTTTAAGAATTACTTCAAATTTGGAATAAATATAAAAATGATAAATAAAAAAATAGAGAAAGAGAAAAAAGAATAAGATAGAGAAAAAAAATTGAGATCAATTATTTTGTAAAGTATATATAGAAAATCAAATTAATAACATTTATTTATTTTTTCTTGACATCTACTAAATAGCACACAACATTTTAAAATATATTATTCTAAATTAATTATCATAATTATCAATAAAAAAGTTTAACATCTCTAAATTTTAATGTTTCAATATGATTTTAAAGAACAAATTCAATCAATTATATAATTAAATCTTAAATCATAAATATATAATTTATTACGGGCGTAAGACAAGTGTCTATATGACGTTGCATGTTACTCGGCCAGATATGTGACACGATTTGATCATGCAGTGGAAGTTCAGTTTCAGCGTGATCGAATTTGAATATTATTTGCATGTCATATGCCACCATTTGATCATGCAGTGGAAGTGCAGTTTCACGCGTAATGCTATTTGCATGTCATGTGACACGATTTGATCATGCAGTGGAAGTTTACTTTCACGTGTGAACAAATTTGAATGTTATTCGCATGTCATTGCGCTTTCTACCGTGAGGAAGACCATCAAGTGCAGGGCCGTGTCCAGCTGTGGCAGTGACAAAGCCAATCTAATATATATATATATATATATATATTAGATTAATTGAATAATTTGTTATTCATTTAAAAAATTAGTATAATTTTTCTTTAAATTCAAAATAAAAATGATATTAAAATGAATATACTCATTGAATTTCATCAAAGATATTTTATTTTTTATTATTTATGTATATATTAAATAATTTCATTTTCTTATACTCCATATATTTTAACATTTTAAAATATAAAATCAAATTAAATTTTTTACATCAACTTCAATAGTAATTCATGTATTCTATATATATATGATATAAAAGTGTGAGCATTTTAAAAGTTACTATATATTATTGAAGTAAAATGTGTATAAATTAATTATAAATTGTTTATATGACATTGTAGGACACATTAAAAATAAAACAAGATACTAAGATGAGAAGTTTATTAGATAGTGTTAGAAAATGCTATTATAAAGCAGTAATCAATATCGGTTAGGTGAATAATAATAATAAAATAGTTCACTCTTTCTGCATTAAGAACAGCTTTGAAACCAGTCAATTGAATGACCTAGCTAGACAAAGACAATCAGATCATACATCTCAATTTATCTCACTGACCACAGATCAAGTATTCCCTTCTGTTTTTTGTGTGTATCATATGACACGACATCATGGATCCTAGGAAACAACATATGTTTTCTTGATCCGTACAAAAACCTCTTGGCCTCGAAACCCGGTTTTAGTAATGGTTGTAAGCAGTTTTCACATGAGCGCCAACAGTATGTACTAGTAAGCTGATTAATTGCAATACACATATACATGCAACTTTATGCAGCAAGCACGCGTCATTATAAGTTTTAAATTGCAGCATAGAGGTGCCATTTGCTGAAGGTGCAGCTGATGCATTGTGCATGCAGCGGCTGAATCCATGCATCTAAGGCATGGCTTCCTCGTGTCATGCGGATATGTGTGGCCCTTTGGCTAACCATGCCACGTAGCTCTGTCATTTCCATAGCTGTCCATGAGTATGAGCACAACCACAAGACTAGCTTGAAGAAATTGGAGCACGTTGGAGTTTGTGACACACCACTTATTTCTGTATTTATCTTATATTTTATGTCGTTTCTGCATGCACTAGTACTAGTTTAATGAAACACTTGTGTTGCAAGTTGCAGCAACATTAAATAGCTGACATTCCATTGCCCTTTGCCGCCTGCCGAGTCATGTTTACTAACAAGACACGAATTCGCATTGCAATGACACTAAGTTCAACATGCAATGAATAACGTGGATGTATTGTTATTTTCTCTGATTTTTCTTGTTGGAATATGCTCATGTTATACTCTGCACTTTTAAATTTTTAAATATTATGTTTTTCTCATTTGAAATAAATGTGTTCTGTTTTAATTTATTTTCATGTAAGCTAATACATAAGTGACATTAACAAATTACACATGAATCTCAAAAATATTATTTTAATTCTCAGTAAATATCAGTATTATTGATAATTTTTAGCTTTAGTATGTTGTTAACTCTTTAATTAAAAATATGTTGACGTCTTTTAAATTTATTTGATCATTTTAGTATTATAATTCAAATAACCTTGAATCAGGTGTACAATTTCAGTTAGGTTTATTTTGATTTTTTTCTAACTAAAATTTTAGTAAGTAGATATTTTGTGCCAGATTCACTGATAAATGAATTTTGTATAACAGGTTTACAAAGAATATCTAGACAGAGGGACAACAATAAGTTTTATGAAATTATAGAGGTAAATAAGACTTGTTTTTTTTATAAAAAAAAAATTGAAAATTATTTTGTATTTTTTTTAAAATAAAATAAAATAAAAAAACACTAAAAAAATAAAAAATAAAAAATAAAAAACACTTCTTTTATTATAAACATTTTTTTAGAAGAAAAAAAAAGAGTTTAAACAAATATACCCTATGAATTAAGAAAAATATTTTCTAAGAAGAAAAACAGATAAAAAAATACTTTTACGAAAGAAAAATGACTCATAAAAATACTATCATAATTATTCATCCTGTATTAAAATAGTTATCTTGAATTAGTTTATTTATAACTGTCATTATTTAATAACAAAAGCAATTTAAGGTGTTTGTTTGAATTATTTTAAAAAAAAAGTAAAGAGGGATGGAAAAGCAAAATTCAGTTTTCTCTTTATTTTATTTGGTTGAATAGAAAAGTAAAGAAAAAAAAACTTAAAAGATCTTAATTTCTTTTAATGAATTACTTTTAAAACATATGAAAAATAATTAACTAATAAATAAAGATGAATAGGTCAAAAGTCTTGAAAATTATGACTTGACCTGTTTAATTAAAATTTGATCTGACATAATATATTTAATAAAAATAACAAATATTTTTTAGAATTTTTTTACTAAAAATACTCTATTTTGGATAGAAAAATTTTTAAAAATATTTTTAACTTATATCCAAACAAACTTTAAAAATATTAAGTTTAAATTTTTAAAAAAATCTGTTAGACCTAATAGGTATATAATAAAAAAAATATATATATATATATATAAATATTACCTTATTAATTATATAATTAAATAAATATTTTTTAATATAAAAAATTAAATTATCAATATTTTTAAAATTTCAAGCAAATTTAAATGTTTTAAGTTTCATGTTCATACAAGATCAACAAATAAAAAATAAAAAAAAATCTAAAGTCGCACTTTCATTTACTCTTTTCCCTCGTTTTTATAGTTTGTTGTTTAGAATATTTCAAATGGAGTGTAGGAAATATTTAAAATTTCTTTTTATAAGATCATATTCTTTCATCACATCATTGAGTTTATACATTACTGTACATGGGTCTTCATGAGTTATCTCTCTTATGTTAGTATTTTATTTTTATTTTAAAATTTAAATTTTAATAATAATAATAAAGTAAAACTCTAAACTATTTTTTTATCACACAAATTAAAAATAAAAAACTTGCACTATTTAAAAATATATTTTTAACTTATTTAAAATTAAATTTATTAACTTATTTAATATTATTAATAAATAATAGACTTTTAAATAAGTTAAACTTTTAAAAAAAATCAGGTCAAACTTATAAAAAAAATTATGATAAATAATATGCCAGACTTATACTTTAATTTTATATAATAGACCTAATTTATATATTTAAAGTTTGACATAATATATTCTCATTCCTATTAATAGAATTAAAAAAAATAGTTAATTTAGTTGAGAGCGTTATATTTTAAAAAAAGCATTAATATTAATGAGATTCTTTTTCTATCAACTATTTAATGAATTAAATTTTTTTTTAAATAATGAATAAATTATATTTCAATTCATTCATCATATTTATTTTATTTTTTCCGTGAAAAAATTTGATCAATTATTTTTAGTAAAATTTCCCTTCCTAATAGTACTTTTTTTATATATAATACTCTAACTTGAGATTTTACTTAAATAATTTAGGTTAGTTTTTTATCTTTCAAGATAGATGTGGGTAAACTTTTATCCGTTTGGTTAATTTAAGATTTCAAATTTTTCCTATTATATTCACTTGCATAAAAAAAATTATGAAACTCATTTGATGTCTAAATAAAAAATATTATAAACGTAGTAAAAATTATTTAAAAAATAAACCTTCCAAATTAGGTTTTTAAAATTTTCAGTTGGTTGTTAGATTCTTTTTTTTATTTTATCTATTTCTATCATGCTTATAACTTTTTTTATTAATTATTTGTCTTCAATAATTTTATATGGATGAATATAATGAATTAAGTTTTAAATGTTAAATTAATAAATAAAAAATATTAAAAGTGATGCTCCAAAATCATAAAATTATATTAGTTTAAAAGATCAAATTAATTTATATTTAATAAATAAATGATTAAAATGAAAGGTCGAAACAAATTTTAAGAACAAGATAAAAAAGAGTATAATTTAACTTATTTCATCAAATATTTATCAAATTAAGAATTAAGAATTAAAGAATATTAATTTTTTAATAATTATTGATGGTAAATTGATTTTTATAAAAGATGAAAAAATAATTTGAATTTGTGTGTTATGTAAGAAAAAGAATTTGAGAGGTTGTAATAATAAATAATGAGGATTGTTATATCTTGGAGTTCGAACGATCTTCAAATAATTAAAATAGTAATATTTTTTAATAAATTCATTGTAAAATAATTATTTAATTAAAAATTTTATTATTTAAATCAGTGTTTTTAATAATTGGAAACAAGTTTTAATCCGTTCATTCATTCATCATATTTGATAAGTAATTAGCAAAAGTTGAGTGAAATTATAGTACCTAAGGAATCTGTGTGGCTTTTTGGTGAAAGACTGAAAAAGGTCAGGTTCTGAGTCGCAGTCGCAGATGCAGACGCTGACTGAACGTACCTCTCTCTGCCTGTGCCTTTCATAATCACGTGGCGCCCTTCTCTTCTCTTCTCTTCTCATCACGTCACCTGCACCTTCCCTCACTCTATCTCTATCTCCTCCTCTTCAAATAACTCAATTTAATCAATACAAATTTCAACACTTGTTCTCTAATTAACACTTTCACAATGCTTATAATTAGTTACTTCATCAACTCTTTTAGGCCACAGATCCATCTTCTTCCATAACAGACTCTCAGTACATACTATTTTCTCCTCCAACAACCCATGATAAGTACGGTTACATTGCATCTTCCACACAATTATTGCCTTGTTAACGATAATAATATATCTATTATTATTACCTGCGTGTCTATGTTTAATACTCAAATAACTCATTATTACGTCTTACGCTATGCAATTCTACTACAGAATGATCAAAGCAACGATAATAATAATTATTAACACTGCAAAATCATTTTGGCGAGAAAGGCCAGTCAAAAAGAGAAACCAAACCAATTTAAATTGGATAAAGTTTTTTTTCTTCAATTTTTTTTTAATATTTAGTACTTTTAGAAGTAAAAGAAATATTAAAATTTTATTAAAAATAAAGGAATTTACAGTGATATTGATGCAGGAGAGGACACATCTATTTATATTCTAATATATTAAGATGAGATTGAGTATGTAAGAGTAGATTAGAGGGAAGAAGTTGTGTTAATTTGGGAATTGGGAGGTTGGGGCCTGGGGGTGCCTTGTTTGAATTGGAAAAACTAAAAAGGGTTAGTGGTTTGGTTTGTGGGGAAGGGATGCCACGCGTCCCATATTGAATTATGAAAACCTGAGATATTCTGCAAGCGTCAATTGCCTTTGACATGCACGTGTCAAAATATCCTTTGTTACGTAGATCGTTTTCATTGGACAACTGGAATCCTCACCATAAACCCAACCCTTTCTCCACGCGCCTCTCCTCATTATCAAAATTCAAAATCAACACACAGACTATAATTTTTTCTACTATTAATCCTTTTGTATATCCATCTATCTTTATCAATAATTTATTTTTATTTGTTCGAGTGATATCAACTCAGTTTTTTAATTAAAATTTTTAATTTAATTCTGTGTTTGAAAAAATAATTGAAATGAGATATTTTATTAAAAGTGATTAACTATATTTTTCAATAAAAGTTAATACTCAACAAAGTGAATAAATACTTCGTATTAATTATATCATTATCCGAAATAAAAATAATCTATCTACCTAGTAAATGTAAATTATATTTGATAAAATGTCCATAATCAATGAAAACGTAAAACTATAATACTAAATACTAATCATATCTAATAAATTTAACACACTTTAAATTATCATTAATAAAAAAAAATTAATTTCTGATATTAATTATATTATTAACATAAAAAACACTACATGATTCTATGTATTTTTATTTTTAAGATCATGTAATAGTTAGCCATTGTTAATAAGAGAATTTGAGTGATTTTTAAGTAGTTATAAAGAGTAAAATGAGACATAAATATAGAAATTATTAGAACAAGATTGTCAAAAATTTGTATACATTAAAAGGAGATATCACTTTTATTATTAATATAGATATAGATTTTGATATTTTGATAAATTTAAGTTAATATACAATACAAAACTAAAAAAATGACCCTGTACCAAACAAAAAAATCTTTACAAAAAAAAACTAAAAAATGACAGATATTATATATACAAATATACAATATCTGTAATCGTAATACTCATAGTTTTAAAAATCGGACCGGTTATCGAACTGGTTAAGGTATTGGGTCAGTGGGTCAAAGGTTGAACCGGTGAGTCACTAGTTAAACTGCATGATTCGATTTTTATTTATTTATATTAAGAAATATTTATATTAAATATATTTTATACTTATAAATTTTAATAAAT